ATGCATTTTAAATCCTGTTTGATATTTATTTGTGTTTAAATATGTTCAAACTTGTTTAAATCATAACAGTTTTATAAAAACAGTAATAACCCCCCAGGGGTGCGGGGGGCCGGGTGCTCGTCGGCGGCGGTGGAGCGGGGGAGGGTTGCGGTGGGTCGTCGGCGGCGGTGGAGCTAGCTAGCGGGGGAGGGTGCGGGTGGGATCGAGATCGAGATGGAGGGGGAATCGAGATCGAGACGGAGGGGGATCGAGATCAAGTGTCCTCATGAATTCAAAAAGTGCCCATGAAATTTAAAAATATTCATGATATCAAAAAGTGCCCATGAAATACAATCGAGAAATGAAGACTACGATTTAAATACAATCGATCTTAGCTAGCTATCTGTTCACAATCTTCTTGCCCTTCTTTTTCGCAAATGGAGTTCTTCTGTGGAACGGACGTCCTTTAGGTAGGGTGGTCCCGCTTCTTCTTGTGGTGTGTGCTGCTACTTCATCGTCGCCGTCATGTTCGATCTTCGGGTCGCCGTACTTGTCGAAGTCTTGCTCATTGGCTACTCCATCCACTCCGATGATCTTCCTTTTGCCTCTCCTCACGACAACACGACTGGGCTTTGACGGGTCGGTAATGAAGAAGCATTGGTCCATTTGGGAAGCCAGTACCCATGGCTCATTTTTCGCGGTGACGTTTGCGCCTGCGGTCTTGGATTTGGCTTCGGGTATAACCATGGTGGTGAAATACCGGTCTTCTTTTAGGACGCTCTTGGCCCATCTAACACGGAACATCGGGACCTTCTCTCCAGCGTAGCTCAGCTCCCAGATCTCCTCGATCCTTCCGTAGTATCCGTCCTTGTCGTTGCCGGTGTAGGATTCCATCGTTACCCCAGAGTTCTGATAATCATCGCTCTTCATGTCCTTGTCCTCGGTGTAGAATGTGTAGCCGTTGATATCGTACGCCTCATAGGTCATCAGGTTGTGCTCGAAGCCCAGTGACAAGGCGAATATGAGTTGTTCTTCCGTGGAAGAATCCTCATGTAAAGGGTACGACAGAAGCTTCTGCTTGAACCAATGTGTGAAACATGAGTTGTGCTCTTTGAGTATATCTCCGTCCGTCCTCTGTTGGCCTCGGTCATTGTACGTCTTATCAATAAAGGTTTTGTGCTCTACCACCCAAGGATCAATCATGTCTATGTGTTGTAGCGCGACTAGGTTTGCTCTTTCAAAGTCGGCGAGTCGACCCTCGAAGTCGACATGCATTTTGCGGCGACCCTCACGGTGACCCCATCCAGTGAGCCTGCCGAGGTGCCTGTTGACGGGCAGACCAACGGGGTTCTCGATGCCTAGATAATTCGTGCAGTAGGAGATGCACTCTTCGGTCAGAAAGCCCCTGGCTATACTTCCCTCTAGACGTGACATGTTGCGAACGTATCCTTTGATGACACCATTCATCCTTTCGAATGGCATCATGCTGTGCAGGAACGTCGGCCCGAGTTGGATGATATCCTCCACGATATGGACCAGCAGATGCACCATAACGTTGAAGAATGCGGGTGGGAAGTACATCTCAAGCTCGCATAGTATCACCACGATCTCTTCCTGTAGCCTTCTGAGTTGCCTCACACCAATCGACTTCCGAGAGATGACGTCAAAAAAGTTGCATAGGCCAAATAGCGTTTCACGGACGTGCGCGTCCATGATACCACGAATTGCAATTGGAAGTATCTGCGTCATCAGCATGTGACAGTCGTGAGACTTCATCCCGCTGAACTTCTGCTTTGCTGGGTCTAGGTATCTGCTTATCTTCCCCGCGTAACCGTAAGGAAGTTTTACTCCTAGGAGGCAGGTGAAAAACTGCTCGATCTCCTCCTGACTTAGAGTGAAGCACGCGGGAGGGTAGTCATTTCCGGTGTTCTTGGCCTTTTTGCCTTTGCGACGACTTTCTGTGTCCTGCTTCGCCTCATCATCATCATCATCATCAGCGTGAAGCTCCTGCCTGATGCCCATTGATTTCAAGTCTGCCCTTGCTTCCGGCCCATCTTTGGTCCTCTCTGGCATGTTGAGCAGGGTACCAAGTAGACTCTCGCACACGTTCTTCGTGATATGCATGACATCAAGGTTGTGAGGCACACGGTGGATCTTCCAGTACGGCAAGTCCCAGAAAACAGACCTCGTTTTCCATACCTTCAGCAGCGGCTCTGGCGCCTTTCGCTTCTTTCCCGGCTCTGGCGCCTTTTGCTTCTTTCCTGGCAGTGGGCAGTCTTTCCAATTTTTCAACAGCTCGTCTATTTCCTCGCCGCTCCTCGTACACGGGCATTTTCGGGGTTCGGTTTCACCATCGAACAGATCTTTGCGTTTCCTCCACGGGTCATCGTCGCGAAGCCACCTTCGATGTCCCATGAACATGGTTTTCGAAGACCCGGGATCTCTATCTAGCTGGCGATACGTTGTGTCATCCATGCACCTTACGCATCCAGAAAATCCGTGGACTACCTGCCCCGCGAGATATTCGTAACCGAGATAGTCGTGCACCGTCGTGAGTAGTGCGGCTCTCATAGGGAAATATTCTTTCTCTGCGGCGTCCCACGTATTGGCTGGCGTTTTCCACAGCGTGTCTAGCTCCTCCTTCAGCAGCCCCAGATACATATTGATGTCGTTCCCTGGTTGTTTCGGCCCTTCAATTAGCATACTCATGTGAATGTACTTCCTCTTCATGCACAACCAGGGGGGAAGGTTGTACATCCACACAAACACAGGCCAGGTGCTATGTGTGCTTCTCTGGCTGCCAAACGGATTGACTCCATCGGTGCTCGCGCCCAGCACGATGTTCCTTGGATCCTTCCCAAATTCTGGGTATTCGAAGTTCAATGCTTGCCACTGGCTCGCATCCTTAGGGTGACTCAGCATCTTGTCTTTTTTATTTATCTCCGGATCATTTCCGTCATCTCCCCGCTTCTTCTCCTCCCTATCCGCGTGCCAACGCAGGAGCTCTGCTACCTTAGGGTCCGTGAAGTACCGCTGCAGACGAGGAGTGATCGGAAAGTACCACACCGATTTTCGAGGAGCTTTCTTCCTCTTCTTGTATCGAGTGACGCCGCACACCGGACATATGGTAGACTCCGCGTGCTCGTCCCGATAAATGATACAATTGTTCATGCACACATGGTATTTCACGTGCGGTAAATCCAGAGGACACAGATTTTCTTCGCCTCCTCGAAACTGGTCGGGCACTTGTTCCCCTTGGGAAGACGTTCGTGCCAGAATGACATTTTCTCGTCGAAGCATGCTTCGGTCATTTTGTGTTTTACCTTCATCTCCAGAGCCATGAGCGTTACTTTCAGGCGGGTATCCTCGGGCCTGCATCCTTCATACAATGGAGTAACCACGTCTATCTCCAGTTGATCCAGCTTGGCTTTCTCTCGGGCGGCAGCTCTTGCATTATCCGTCTGCTTGAGAAGCAGCTCTTGAATATGAGGGTCCTGCACCCAGCCTCCATCGTCGTCTACTCCGGCATCTTCATCTTCATGATCATGCCCTTCGTCTTGATCTTCCTCATCATCATGTACGACATCTTCTACATGATGACTGTGTACAGCATCTCGTGATCATGTCTTGGAGATTCTTCGTCTTCTCGCCCGCCCTCGCCACGGTGGTACTTGTCTTGTTGCCCTTCCTCATTTCTTGCCCGGCCCCGGCCATGGACGACTTCATAGTCATCTTCATCACCTTGCCACCGATAGCCATCCATGAAACCACGCAAGAGCAGGTGGTCCCACACCTGCCCAGAATCCGGGTCCGCAATAAGGCTCTTCAGCTTGCATCTTCGACACGGACATCTTATCTCCGTCTCGTTCTTTTGAAGCATCTCGGCCTTCGCGGAGCTCAAAAACCTATTCACGATGCCTTCAGTCATCGTGCGGACCATGGTCGCCTGCGGGGTAGAGAAAAACGATATTTTAGAACCAAGAAATTTTTTGGCATGACCTTCCCTAAAAATAGGACCAAAAAGAATGCATAGTGCCAAAATTCTCGCCGAAACGGAAATGAATCAAAACATTCCGGAAAAATATTGGCAACTATCGCATTTCAAATACCGGTACCTTCAAACACAAACATATATGCAACACCACAAACACATGCAACACCACAAACATACATAGATCTAGCTAGGTCACAAAAAGTCCATGTGCACGTTGTTGGAGCGAGCTAGGGAGAGAAAAAGTAGATCTACATCATGAAGATAGCTTTCCACTTACTTACCTAACAAAAAAGGTAATTTCACCACTTAATTTTGATGAATCTATGGTAGAAATGAGGTGCGGAGGAGGAGGCAGCCGAAAGCTTGGAGAAGGAGGTGGAGGGAATGAAGTGGGGAAAGTGAGTGGGTAGGTGTGGGGCTGTCCAGAATATTTTGTTGGGGTCCCAGGTTACTAATGGCGCACCACAAGGAAATGCGCCATTAGTAACCCTGGTTACTAATGGCGCACCTGCAGGTGATGCACCATTAGAGTTTGCAAAAAAGTAAAAGATATAAATATATATACTAATGGCACACCGTGTAATAGTGCGCCATTACTAGTTTAAACTAGTAATGGCGCACTGTGAAACAATGCGCCATTAGTAGTTTTGCAAAAAAAAAAGAATAAGAAAAAAATTACAGTAAAGGCGCACTCTCTGCCTGGTGCGCCATTACTAGTTAGAACTAGTAATGGCGCATTGTCGACCTGATGCGCCATTAGTATGTATGGAAAAATGAAAAAAATAATAATACTAGTGGCGCACCCTGTTTCTGGTGGGCCATTAGTGTCTTCCATACTAATGGCGCATCACCAACATGTGCGCCATTAGTATATAATAGTGGCGCACTACTTCCCTGGTGCGCCATTAGTATCAATCCTATCTATATCCCTTTTCCTAGTAGTGTTGTTTCAACTCGTAGTCCAGGCCTTGCCGGACACCTCGCAACCCGGTGGCTTGGAGGTGATGTAACTGATGCAATGCACCTGTCACAGGTTGTCGAAGCCGTTGATAAGGACATAGGCATCAGGGTACTCCTTCTTGACCTCCGCCACCTCCTTGAGCACCTGTGTGGCGTCGGTGCACCCGAACATAGGCAACTTCTACTTTGTTTGGCATCCGCCGTCATAGTACCCGAGGGAGCTATTGTGCTCACGGAAGATGAAGCCAACCTTGCTGAACTCAAGGCAGGGCACCCACTTGGGCCGGATCAGGTAGTCGACCTATTTAAGGAGGGCCTCTATATATGGAGAGGGGGTGGCAAGTAAAACAGGGTCTCAAACTTCTTGATGCCCTCGATTGGCTAAACCCAATTTGATGGATTTAACACAATTGATAAACGCTTAAAGCTTAAATTAATTTTACTGACAATTTAAGTAAAACCTAGCCATAAGGCAAAAATTACTCCTTATGGGCACGTCTGTGTTAGTCAACCACTCAACTACCAATGCAGACCTAAGTGCAAGCCTATGCCTTGCACTTAAAAGGAACATAGAATAATCATTGGGGTTTGAGAAGTCAAAAACAAAAAAAGTCTTGCATCAATGCAGCTGACCATTAGGCAATGGAGAAGGCCTTATGATCGATGCTAACACAAGGAGTAGGGATCGACATGCAACTAGCTAGGATGCACACAGACCTATGAATAAATGAAAGCTCTCCCAAGGACTAAGTGGGGGTGCATCCAACTTGCTTGCTCATGAAGACCTCGAGCATTTGAGGAATCTCGTCATCAAGACATAGAGGAAAAGTTCTATAATATATATTCTCCACCTAGTATAAAACATAAAGCTCATGAAACTTTAATTAGATGACCAACAAAAGTTCTTTAGTAAGGGTCTCTGACAAGAATATTTATCATCCTATTTTACTAGCAAAAACCGATAGAGATGATAGTAGTGACATGGAAAACAAACATTTTTTTTGTATTCATAAGTAAAGAAACTGAAATTTGTAACTGCCAATCAGGGGATCTTAATGTCAAATACTGAATTATTACACCCACTACCTGTGAGACATCCATTGCAGTGCCAAATAAAGAATATTTTTTGAGAATTAACAGCAAGGCAATGGTCCGCTTGCTGTATATAATAATTATCACACAAATGTTGTATATGTAGCCGGTGCCAGAATTTACATATGCATGCTCCACAACCTATGTTTGTACATACACAGATCATATAGAACAAAAATTATGCTTAGTTCGAAAAGCAGAGCCGTGGAGAAAAGTGAAGTTCAGGAAAGAGCTTCATACATAGGCCATTGTTTTAACTCATAGTAAGGCCTTGATGGACTCCTCACAACTAGGTGACCTGAAGGTGATGAAGCTGACGCAAGTTGTCGAAGCCGATGATGCAGACATAGGCGCTAGGGTACTCCTTGACGTCCTCCACCTCCTTAAGCACCTTCTTGGCGTCGGTGCACCCGAAGATAGGTAGCTTCCACGTTGTCTAGTATCAGCGGTCATAGTACCTAGGGAAGTTGTTGTGCTCACGGAAGACGAAGCCAACCTTACTGAACTTGAGGCAGGGCACTCACTTGGAGGGGATCAGATAGTCGACCTGCTTGAGGAGGGCCTTCATGGAGAGGGGTGGCAAGTGACAGGATCTCAAACTTCTTGATGCCCTCGATCGGCCAAACCTGATCAGATGGAACGAACACAATTGATTAACACTTAGTGCTTAAATTAATTATACTAACAATTTAAGAAAGACCTAGCCATAAGGCAAAAAATTACAACTTATGGGCATGTTTGCCTTAGTCAACCACTCAACTACCTATGCAGAGCTAAGTGCAAGCCTATGCCTCACACTTAAAGGGAAAATAGAATAATAATTGGAGTTTGAGAAGTAAAAAACAAAGAAATTAGACTAAATATGCGGCTATTTGAACGTGTGGTCTTAAAAAAATTGGGGTCGGATGTATGCAGGCAGCGTTGGATATATTATTCTGTGGAGTACCTTCCAACTTCCATCCTCCTGAATGGTGTGCCTGGTAGGCCACTCCAATGGAAACCTGGGATTCATCTGGGTAACCCACTGTTACTACTTCTATTTTTCTTGGCAGTGGATTTACTTCAATCTATTCTCAGTGACATGTATCATCATGGGGAATTATCTTTTCCAATTCCATCTCATGATCTAGACTCTCCAATTGCTCCTCCTAAAAGAAATGTTACAATTTTTGTCTAATATAAATCCACTTGTTTGAAAGTGAATTTGCATAAATCCTCCATGGTGCTTATAAATGTGATTGATGATGAAGCTTCTTGTTGGCCAGTTTGTTTGAGTGTAAACTGGGTAAGATGCCTTTCACTTACCTGGTTTACCTATGGGTAACACTAGGCCCAAGATGTATGACTTAATGCCTTTCGTTGACAGAATGAAAAGGAGATTGGCAGCTAGCTCTTCTCTGCTCGCACAAGGTGCTAGATTGAAACTTCCGAGGTTTGCCATTTCATGTGTTCCCATATACTATCTTCGTAGTCTCTAGATCCCCCTGGTATAATTAGACAACTGAACATAATTGAGCAGAATGTCTCTGGCATGGCAATGCTGATAGCCCAAAGCAACCTTTGGCGACATGCCATCTGGTATGTAAACCAAAGCAGAATGGTGGTAAGGGTATCATTAACCGTCATATTCAGGACCAAGCTTTGCTTACAAAATGCTTGCGCAAATTTTATAACAAAGCTCACGTTCCATGGGTAAATTTGATATCGATTTCTTACTATCATGGAGTCATACCTGATGCAACAGTCCTTTGTGGCTCCTTCTGGTGGATGGATCAGTACAGGGCCATCTCTTGAATGGAAATTAATATGAGCGACTCTGCCCTGTTCTTGTTTGATGCTTGGTTGATTGAGGGATCTTGTCGACGTCTTCGACATCATTTGGAAAGGCTGCTTTCTTTGCCTTGGACATTTCTGTTTAAGATTTTTGTAGAAACCCCTGATCGGGCCACTCTTTTACACCTACCAATTTCTCCCGAGGCGTTGGATGAATTGTAACCTCTGGATGGTTCGTTAAATAGCCTTCAACGTAATCCACTTTCCTTGTTTGTTCTTTGTTAGGAGGATCATTTTCTTCTAAGAGTTTCTACTGCATGATGCACAAACACATGCCCACTGACGAACCTTGCAAATGGATATAACAATGCACCATGAAGATCAAGACCTTAGCTTAGACCCTATTGCTTTATCGGTAGAACGCTCGGAACATGCTTCTTAGAAGGCACTGCCATTCTCCTCGGGATGAAATCCATTGTGCTCACATGAGGAAAGAGACCACTTGTTTTTCTTCTATAATTTGAGTCAAATGATTTGTACTTATTTGTAGATTGATTGGAGACCTTGACGAAACACTAGACAATGTATTGATGCTGCAGGTAAACGATTTGGACACCCTTTGTTTCTTTGTAGTGGTGTTCTCTTGGAGCTAATATTTATATTATTAGAAATGGCAAGATCTTCGTAGTGGAGAGGCCAACCTTTCCCGCTTGGTTTTGTAAATTTTTACATGACATCTCTTCTTGCACATGGAGTTAAGGCTTGTATCAAACCGAAGCTCCTTGTTTGGATTAGTAACCTCCATTAGATAAATAGGTAAGTTGGTAAGTGTTGTTTTTCCTTCTTCCTTGGTTTCTTTTGTAAATATTTTTGCTTCCTTTTGTTTTCATCGAATAAAGGACTGTATAGCTGTTGCTACATAGTAGTTCAAATCCGAGATTTTTCTTGATTTTCACAAGTATGATTGCAATCCTTCACAAATAGCTCATGCAAAAGTTCCATAATAAGATTTGAATGCTATTGTTATATCGAGTTCAGTTAGCTATTTATTATACTGACCAACAAAAGTTCTTCAGTAAGGGTCTCTGAGAAGAATATTTTTCATTCTATTCTACTAGCAAAAACCGATGAAGATGATGGTAGTTACATGGAAAAGAAACCACAATTTTTTGTATTTTTTTAAACTCAACTTTTGTATTGATATAAGTAAACAAACTGAAATTGTAATTGCCAATCAGGAAATCTTAATGTCAAATACTGAATTCTTCCACCAACTAGCTGTGAGACATATCCATTGCAGTGCCAAATAAAGAAAGTTTTCCGAGAATTAACAGCAGGACAATGGTCCGCTTGTTGTATATAATAAATATCACACTGGTGTTGTATATGTGTAGCCGGTGCTAGAATTTACATATGCATGCTCCACAACCTATGTTCGTACAAACACAGATCATACCGAACGAAAAATATGCTCTGGTCGGAAAGCAGAGTCCTGGACAAAAGTGAAGTTCACAAAAGACAATCATACATAGGCCATTGTTTCAACTCGTAGTTTAGGCCTTGCCAGACTCCTCGCAACCCGGTGGCCTGAATGCGATGAAGCTGACGCACTGCACCTGGCGCAGGTTGTCGAAGCCGATGACGCGGACATAGGCGTCAGGGTACTCCTTCTTGACCTCCTCCACCTCGTTGAGCACCTGCGTGGCGTCGGTGCACCCGAACATAGGCAGCTTCCACATTGTCCAGTATCGGCCGTCGTAGTACCCGGGGGAGCTGTTGTGCTCACGAAAGACGAAGCCAACCTTGCTGAACTCGAGGCAGGGCACCCACTTGGAGCGGATCAGGTAGTCGACCTGCTTCAGGAGGGCCTCCGTGGAGAGGGGTGGCAAGTAAGACAGGGTCTCGAACTTCTTGATGCCCTCAATCGGCCACACCTGAGTGAATGGAAATTATGGATGCACACAACTGCTTAACACTTCGTGCTAGTAAATTGTACGTACTGAGGAAGAAACTCATATCAGTTTTGTGCCTCGACATACCTGCATGCACCTGATCCTTCCGCCATTGCTGACGCTGCCGAGGCTGCCGCTGGAGCGGCGGCTGACGGGCAGACCGGCCGTGGACTTGAGCCCCTGGAAGGGTGCGACGGTGGTAGCCGACGAAGCCATCACGGCGGGGGCCATGGTATTGTATTATCGGCGGAGAGGAGGATGCTGGCTACACTTGAGGCCCCATTGCCGGGTCACTACCGTATATATAGCCAGACACTTAGCGCCGTTTCTTTGGTACAGATGTGGCTGGGGTGGCTGACGTTCTCTGGTTGCCTCGTTTCCTTATCTTCTCCGGATCAGTGGAAGAAGCATGGCCGTCGGATGCATTGTGTGTGCTGGAAATTTCAGTCCTTCATGTCATTGGGTGGCTGCCACACAACCTTTTTCCAGCTTTTCTTGTTTTTGGTTTCATTTAAAGCCAAAAAATTCTCGAGTACAAATTTTCTGAGATGCGACTTGAGTGGCGCGGGCAAAATATTTTACATTTTATCATAAAATCTGATGGCTCATTCCCTCGAAAGTATGCCCATAGACATAGAGTGTGCGTGTGTGCATTTATAGGGGTTATTGTACAGGCGTGTATGCAAACGTCTACTTTTGTACACCGTTTCTCTAAATAAAATATATGTTTTGTTGGTACAATTAATTGAACTAGCATAGTAACCGTCCACACATAGAACAAGTTCTTTCCCTCTTGCAAGGCAACTATTGAAAGATCTCCACCTCTCTATCTGCCAGTGAGCCTATGGATCCGCCTTCCCTCTGCGGGAAGGGCATTATTGGTGGCTCAGCTCTGGCTAGTAGATAAGTAGGGTTTTAGTCCTCATAGGTGAGGCGCTTGGACGGATGGCGGCCCTTCTTCTTTGAGCCAATCTTTCGGGATCCGATCCTCTTCAAGTTCCTCTGTCTGGGGAGTTCCGACATAGATTCCTGCCAGCTCCTCAAGCGGCGAGGTTAGGAATTCTCGTCATGCATACGCACACTGAGATTTGGTGTCAGATTCTTTAGACCGATTCAGGGATTCAACGGCGACGACTGCAGCTCCAGAGCACTGGTTCTTATGGGCACGTGCATGAAGACTTCCTGACTGTCATCGATAAGGTTAGGATAGCTCCAGAGTGGGAGCAACGACAACGGTGTGTTAGTGGCTCGTCTCTGTGAGTAGGAACGAAAAAAAGCCCTATATCTCGACATTTTGACAACTATGTGACAATGGGATTGAGCTACTCCATACCTTCTTTTAAACACTAGTGGGTAGGAATGAAAAGCTCTATATCTCAACTATTAACACGTATGGCTAAATCTGTACCTTGAATTATAGGATATGCCAATTGATCAATGGTGGGCGGTCTCCCACGTAACATTGTCTCTCAAGTAGAGCTGCAAATGAGTCGAGTTCGAGCAAGTTGGACTTGGCTCAGCTCAACTCATATTAAAATTCGAGCGAGCTCAAACTGAGTGAAGCTTAAGGTCAAGCTGTAGAATATGACTCATGCTTAGCTTGTAATGATCTCGAGTCGATCTCGAGCTAGTTTCGAGTTAAATGAGATGATAGAAAATATAAAATTTACGACTATTATTCCAACTAGATAAGCACAACACGACATAAAAAAGCACAAAAAATATTATTCCAATCAGAACGAGGATAATACAACTTTCTTTTGAAATGATACAAATTTGTTAGAAATAGTTTAACTTATTCTATCACAACCGAAAGTCTAGTATCAACATAAGATAACGATTCATGACATATATATAATTGGGAAAACGAAGATGCATATGCTGGGAACTCTTGCCAGAAACAACATAATATTTAACACATAGCGGACCACGTACCATAATAAAGCCTAAATTTTCTCTATAACTAATTAAGCTTCGATGTTCGTTTGTAAATAAAACGGAGAAAAATCCTGGATGACATATATGGTATTAAATTATCGTATTTTCATTTATTATATGGCATGATCATTTAACATAATGATATTATGCCGAGCTATGGAGCGAGCCAGTATTGGTTCAAGATCAGCCCGTTTCTCGACTAAGCTACATGAAGTGTTCGTACTCAACTCATTTCTTTTCGAGTCGAGTGAAAAAACGAGTCGATCTCGAGCCGCTCACGAGCCTCAAGCTTTTCTTCCAGCCCTAATCTCAAGCAACGTCATGTTGAGACAACTCAATCATCATACTTTCCATCCCATATCAGTGGCGGATAACGGAAAGACATTAGTATCACAAGGCCTGGACCGAAGCCAATAAGTTCTATGGAAAACCGTGATCCCCAGAATAATTGTGTTCCTCTCATGATATCGATGCCCTGTCACCTGGAGGTCTCTCGATTTGCACTTGGAGTTGAACGTCTCCAACTACACCAATTGATCAGATGGCTCCAATCACTAAATTACCGCAAGAGTAAATAATAACATGAAGAGGAAAAACATGAATAGACAACGCATATCGAATAACAGCTTACAGCTGACCGACCCATAGCCAATGATTACTCAAATAACATCACATATAAAAGGGTTTAAGAGGTGTTACAACCCATTACAGAGACCGTGATGGGAGGGGGAACGAGAAGGGCTATGGGTGAGGACGATGCGGCGACGACAACACTTCTCCGGCATTGCCTCTTCAAGGTTGCAATGATGGAGATGGAGGCTTGGCACAACCCTCAAGTGCTTTTTGATGTCGATGGCATCTGAACATATGGAATGTGTCCCCGAGTGGCTAGGGTTGGAGGTGTATTTATAAGAACTCTTCCAAAGCCCCCTTCGTTGATGTAGCATCTCTACTTTGATCCAAGTGCTCTAGGTGAGCCCAATCTTTCCCAAAACATCCCTTCATGGCAAAGAAAGTAGTAGGAATTAACCGGGACAAAATCCTCAAAGAATCCTGTCTGAAAGGGCAACTTTCGTGCTTGTCTAGGCCTAATACGAGCACTGGTACAACCATTTTTTTATGTATCAAAGTTCGTCAAACGCTTTGGACTCTTTGGTAAACCGCCGAAACTTTTACATCCGGACTCTGTTTTTGATTTTCATATGCTCGTTGGAATCATGATAACAGCGCTGATGCACTTGTGATATTAGATATTGATTGTGAGCACTTTGGAAAATGACCTTTTTCACCCTCTGAAATGCCCAAGTCTGGTGTCTCGATGTCCTTCGTTTGGATTCTTTTCATCATGTTAAGTGCATGAGAGTTCCACATCACGTACAAACACACAAAGACAAAGAATACTAATAAGAACAAATAAAGAATAAACATTATGCAATGCTCACGCTGCAAATGTTAAACACTAGAGATCATGCATATGGACAATGTAATTGGCTCAATGGCACATGCTATACGGAGATAATAGGCGACAAATGAGCTCTAAACGTGCGTAAAAATAGGAGCCATCACTAGGATCAACGAGATATTATCTTGTGGAACACCTTCCATCCTTTTGAATGGTGAGCCCGGTAGACAATTCCAGTGAAAACATGGAGTTCACCAAGGTGGCCCACTGTTACCACTTCTATTTTTATTGGTAGTGGATTTACTTCAGTCTATCCTCAGTGACATTTATCATTGTGGGGAGATCTTTCAAACCCATCTCATGATCTAGAATCTCCAATTGTCCAGTATGTTAATGATATATTGTTGATTATGCCGGATATTGATTCTCAGCTTCTTGACCTAAAAGAAATGTTACAACTTTTGTCTAAATCCACTTGCTTGAAAGTGAATTTTTGAAAATCCTCCATGGTTCTTATAAATGTGATTGCCAATGAAGCTTCTCATTGGCCAGTTTGTTTGAGTGTCAACAGGGTAAGATGCCTTTCACTTACCTGGTTTACCTATGGGTAACACTAGGCCCAAGATCTAGGACTTAATGCCTTTGGTTGATATAATGAAAAGGAAATTGGCAGCCATCTCTTCTCTACTCTCACAAGGCGCTAAATTGAAACTTTCGAGGTCTGCCATTTCATCTATACCGATATACTATCTTTGTAGTCTGTAGACCCCCCCTTGGTATAATTAAACAACTGGAGAGAATTGAGCAGAATATATCTGGCGTGGCAATGCTCAAAGCATAAATCGACCATTCGCGATATGTCATCTGGTTTGTAAACCAAAAGGAGAATGGTTGTATCGGTATCATTAACCATCATATTCAGGACCAACCTTTGCTTACAAAATACTTGTGAAAATTTTATAATAAAGCTCATATTCCATGGGTAACTTTGATATAGACTTCTTACTATCATGGAGTCATACCTGATGCAACAGTTCTTTGTGGCTCTTTCTGGTGGAGGGATATTTGGGAACTTAATGATCAGTACATGGCAATCTCTTCAATCAAAGTTAATACTGGCAACTTTGCCCTGTTCTTGCTTGATGCCTAGTTGATTGAGGGATCTTCTCTACCTCTTCGACATCATTTGGAAGGCTCTTTTCATTGCCTTGGATAAAAAAAATATGTTAAAGATTTTACAGAAACCCCTGATCGGACCACTCTTTTGCGCCTGCCAATTTCTGCTAAGGTGATAGATGAATTGCGACCTCTGGATGGTTGGTTACATAGCCTTCAGCGAAAGATGTTTTTTCTTGGTAAGGAGGATCATTTTCCGCCAAAAGCTTCTACTGCATGATGCACAAGCACATGCCCACCGATGAACCTCTTGCGAATGGATATGATAGAGCACCATGAAGATCAAGATCTTTGCTTAGATCCTATTGTTTTATCGGTTGAACGCTTGGAACATGCTTCTTAGAAGGCACTGGCTTTCTCCTCGGGATGAAACCCATTGTGCTCACATCAGCAAAGAGACCACTTGTTTTTCTCCTATAATTTTAGTCAAAGGATTTGGACTTATTTTACAGATTGATTGGAGCCCTAGACGAAACGCTAGACAATGTATTGATGTTGCATGTAAACGATTTGGATACCAGTGGCGGCGCCAAGATTTTGAGGGTGGGTATTCATTGGCACAAAAAAATTACTCTAAATGTATTATAAAGACACCAGTACAACAATAGTAAATTTTTAATGCATCAAACCATACTAATTATACATAAACATAAAGACACCAGTACCTTTTGATTGATAGATTGGTGATATCCCATCTTACAATATAACTTTGCGA